GGAAAAAGACAAGGAAGATGATGGATGGATCCATGCTTGCCAGCCTTTTGGGCTTTGGGAATATCATGGTGCAAGTGCTTTTGGCAGTCATTTCTGGGCACATGAACAAGGTGATTGGCAATAGCCAACATGGATTTACCAAAACATAAATTATGCCTGACCCAGCCAATTGTCTTCTGTGATGAAACACCTAGAGAGTGGATGAGAGGAATGCAATGTACATTGTATAACTTGACCTCGATCTGGAGAAGGCTTAGAGGGAACCTAATAGCAGATGTCCAATGCCTACAGAAAAATAGAGCTAGGCAGGCTCTGCAGAGATGGGTAGAGGAAATGATGATAAATTCAAACATGGGAAGTTGCAACTTGGTATAAGGAAAAAAATATTTAATGATGAAGATAAGCACTGGGATGTCTTAACCAGCGAGGTTGTGAAATCTCCATCCTTGGAGTTTTTCAAGGTCTGACTGGACAAGAATCTAAACAATCTGGTTTGAATTCACTGTTGGTCTTGCTTTCAGAAGAAGGTTAAACTAGATGACCTTAAGAGATCCCTTCCAACTTGAATGATTGTGTGATTTTGTGATTTAATACTTTGGTCATAAACTGAGAAAAATAAATATCCCACTCCTAGTCACTAAAGTCATAACTCCAATCCAGGGGATATTCCCCAAGCTGAATTATTTGGAACATTTTACTCCAAACTGGCCTACCTCATTGCCAATTAAGGGCAGGGTCAGGAATGCCTGAACCAAAATCTGATTAATGCAGTATTTGAAATGTTAAACTAGTCAGAAAATCAGTTACTGTAAATCTAAATCACTGTTGTATGGAATATAACATTTTTGATTGTTTTAAATGTATCTGCCATGTTAGAACAGGAGCTTGTACTATGAAACCTAGCCTTGATTTGATGCTCAGTTTCCCAAACTGTTGATTATTTTGTCTTCCGATCTAAATTCTTGTCACATTTCTATTCTGTATTCTAATACAGAATACATTTCTGTATTTCTAAATACAGCAACTTAATGAAAAGATGATTACTTCTGTCTCTGGTTGTCCTGCAGGCTCTGTCAGTTTTTTTTCAGCTTACATATCATCCCCTGTGTTCAGGAAACAAACAAAATAAGCATTTGAAGCCTTGAATAAACATGGCAGCCACTTTGTGTTGAAGATGCTTTGCTTGTGCTTTGATGGGAAAATAGCTGTTGATCATTTAGTTTTTCAGATAGCATATCTGCTTTGGAATGTTTTTAGTGTTCCAAAATGTATTTACAAACCAGAAAAAGAAGATTCAAGGAAGAGGTAACTATAGCACCACTGTTTGCTTCTGGAGTTTTGTATCAAGAGGCAGCCAAATAAAATAGTTCAGATACTGAAAATGAAAAGGAGATTCAAATGTAAAGATATAACTTATCTTTCTGTTGATTTTGTGCTAAATAGGACTGTTTATGTTATAATTAAACTAATTTTCTAGATTGCAAAAACAAGGAAGGAGGAAAACAATTCATTCTTTTCTTACATTGGAAAAATGTCAAAGATATGTTAATCTTAAAGTCTTACGATGAGTATTTACATACAATGAGGCTGTGAGTTCTTGTTTTATGTCTTCTAGAATTAAATCCTAGGAAGCTTTTATTCATGCTTAAATAACATTTTTGCCTGCATGCTTTTGAAGATACTGGGCTGAGTTTCAAGTTTCTCTGTAGTTGTCTTGGGATTTTAAACACTTTAAAAGAACTGAAGGTGTCCTCTAGGAATGTGCTATGAACATCATTATGTTACAAATAGTACACCTCTATGAAAATACAATATACATTGCCTCATCATCCAGATGAAGGTATTGAACAGAATCAGACCTAGCATTTACATCTTGGGTATACTGCTGGTTTCTGGCTGGTCTCCTATTTATAGGAAGAAGGAAAACTCTCCTAGTGTTGTTTTTTCATACATATTTATATATAGTAATAAAATATACTGTAGTAGAGAACTACATATATACTGACATATTTTTAAATACATGCAGTATATAAAATTGTGTTGGGTATTGTAACTGGCTTCAGTATCAGTAGCTATTGATGGCAGCTGGCAACCCTTTCCAAATTAATATTTTGTTCTTTATGAACAATAGTGGAATTTAATTAGATCTGAAAAACTGATGCTTTTCAGATAAGAGACGTGAGAATATCCTAATGAAGGCAAGAATTCCTTTCATGCTTATTGGGTTGTTTAATGGAAGCACTCTCCTGTTGGCTTCCCTGGGATTGCTCTCCTGTTCACTCTTTCTTCCTTACTTTCTTTTGCTATCATATCCCATCATTTAGATTATATGGGAAAGTAGGAAAGCATCCAGGGCCTAAGTTGCCCTGGCAACTTTATCCCAAAGAAGTAACTATCTGTATAATATTTTAGAAACTTGAAGGCAGACAGAGAAAGCTTCTGAGCCAAGTGCCCTGTGCTATGTACCATATCATACAGTTTTGCTAGCAAAATGTATATTAATGCTAAGAACACTGAGTATTAATTAACAGATTGTTCTGCATGTGTTTTAGCTCTTGTTTTTCTTATTTAATGTCCTCTTCAGTGAAGAGTCTCTGTTCACATCCTGTAGAAAAAAACAAACAGATTTAAATTATATTTTTTCTTCATAGAATATTAATGTCTTAAATATGATAGGGTAGAGAGCCATGTTATACACTGCAAATACTTGAAGAGTGGTATGGGAACTATAATTATGTTTCAGTTTGGGGCATGTACAGGCTCTTCTGTACTATTTCCTTTGCATAGTTTTTCACATTTAATCAGTCATAATATCTCCCAGCAGACTGGTGTGTTCACAGTCACTCAACTCTGGCTCAACCAAGATCTAACTCAGCAGGAAATGTCTTCACCACTATGTGAGGCAGTTGCTCATGAAAGTTTGCTTGCTACCTCACTTCATTATTCACTTCAAAGTCTTCCATTGTTATAGTTCAGGTATAAATGATACTTACTTGTATAAAGTAAATCATACTACCTCCTTGGTTCCTGTGGTGAGCTTAAGGTTTTACATACTGCATGCTTTTGGTTATGTAGGGAAATCAGAAATCTTTCTCTCCTTCCTGTATTTGTCCTTATCTTTAAGTTCTTAGCTGAATCTTTCACTAGGATGTTGACGATACGACCAAAGTGAAAATATTTGCTTTGCTATAGACCTGGAGACACCCCTGTGTTTTAGTTCTGGAGAGCTCACATTCTTATTTCACGTGAATAGAAATAGTGACCAATCTGTATTTTATATACAATAGCACACTCTAGTGTGTATATTAATTAGCCATTATGGGCTGATTGTCATTATGTTTAACTCAGTTTTTCATTGATTTAGTTCTGTTGCATTCATTATTATTATTTTTTCTCTGTACTTGCATGAATTGGAGGAAATATATATATCTTCAATTGATATATTAATCATAATGATTAACAGAGTCATTATGATGCTGACTGTTACAATTTTTTAAAATGATGCTTTGAAAGAAAGATGATTTTGTGGAGATGAAAATCTCATTGTAATGAGAGTCCAATATAATAATTATCAAAAGATACTTTGATATGCAGCCACTTCTTTCTTTTCAGGTAGCTGTGGTTGTTTGCTCTAATTTGTAGTATCAAGACTCTTTTGATGCTGTTTTTGGCACGTGTTAGGCCAGTGACGCAAAATAATGTTTCTAAGCATCCACTTTAGATAATGCAGTTGCTTTAAATTAACTGAGGAGAAAGTGAGACAGTGAGTACCCTTTTTTCCAGTTTTGTGTGTGGTTTCATTTATTGCTGTTACAATCTGTGTGCCATGCAGGCGTGCCAGAGCAAAGGTTGGTGGGGAATCTGTTCAGAGTTTGTGCGTGGAGCGCATTTTCCCCCAACAATTCAAGACAATCTACTTCTTAAAACATTGCAGAAAGAGGTGTCAGCTTAAGGGTGAGCAAATATAATCAAATAAACTAAGTTTGAGGTCTTTACTGTCTTCTTCCCCAATCAGACCTCACAAATCCTCTACTGTGGATCTCTGCTGAGAGGTGTTGCTCCTACACTTCCCAGTACATGCAGACTCATGCCTGGCATTTCTGCTGAAATGTTGGATGTTAATTGAGAACCCTGTTTAAAATGTCTGTACTAACAAAGGCTCACTTAGATCAAAATGATTCAAATAAAAGATATAAGAGTGCTAAGGCTGTTGTCAGGCAGGGGCAAGCTGGAGGGAGGGTGCTCTGTAACCTTTCCTGCTGTCACAAGGTTTCTCTGCCCCATGGTGTCCTTGGGAACTGCTCCTCTCAGGAACTCACCAGGCGTTTGGATCCATCTGCCTCTGCAGTGGTTTGGTTCACAGGGGTCTAACAGAAGAAAAGTGAAGTCTGGAGTCACTTGAATTTTAGATTGTAAGAAAATTTTGAAAGTTCAATGCCATCTTCTCATCCTTCTAACTTAAGTTTTTATTTGATACATCTCTCAAGGTACATGCATTTGGTAGCAATTAGAGTGTGTATTTTTTGAATAAATTGTTTGCAATGACATGTTTTCTCATATAAGAGTCACTAAAAACTATTGAAACATTGATAACTATTGAGCAATTAATTACCTGTTGCTTTCTGACTGTGTGCACACAATGCCTCATTCTCTTTGGGATGCTTATGTTAAATTACTTCCAAGCTTATGTTAAATTACTGTCAGTGTTTTGTGTGATATTCTGTCCATCAAAAGGCACAAGAGGAGGGTGGAAGTCCTCTGAAGATGGTTTTACTTCTTAACTCATGTTTGATTCCTTTCTTAAAATTAAGAAATAAAAATATGTTTAATACTGGGACCTACTTGAATTTAGCATATATATATCTAAAGAGTCAAGCTGTGTTCATTTCTTCATGAAAGATACCAAAAAATGAGAAAAATAATTGGTATTTACTCTCCTAGTTATAATTGTTATGTCAGGTGCTTATGTTGTATATAATCTTCTCCATGTTTTTGTACAGGAAAAGCATAAGCAGGAATTAGAAGACATGAGAAAAGCTGGACATGAAGCCTTGAGTATTATTGTTGAAGAATTCAAGGTAAATGAATTGCCAAGCTGACACAATTTTCAAATAATGTTATTGTAATAATATATATGACTTCCTACAGTACAAACTTATTAGTATACTCTGCTTGTTCTGGTTGCTCAACCTCTTTCACTTTGAGACTGTCTTTTCTGTTTCAATTTAGACTGTTTGGTCTGAAATCTTGCATGACATGTTTTCTCAGCCTGCACTTTGGGAAACTTCAGCTAAAGTTGGTTAGCCATTTTCAGTAAGGAAACTTAAAACCAGAACAAACCAAAAATGCTGTCAATTGTGGTGAACTTTGGTTTGGATTGCTTATCACGAATCCACATGTTGGACCTCCTCAGTCCCAAGAGCTGCACTTTCAGGAAAGCCGCATCACAGAGCAATTCAGCAGGTTTTTATCAATGCAGCACTAAGAGAAGGAGTTATGGATGGAATAAGGCTGAATGTGTAATTCTTTCATGTTGTTTCTAGTTCCTGTCAGATAGTGACATAAATGAACTGGGTGTTACCATGGATAAATCCATGTCTTTTCTTCTGTTATGGAAACTATCTAGTAAGAATTCCACAAGTATGTGTCCGTTAATGCAACTTATACTAATTTCATTAAAGGGAATCTATCCAGAAAAAGGCTTCAAAAGTTTCCATTCCTGAGAAAAATTAGGCATGGCCAATGGTGGTGTCCCACTTCTCCATACCTCCCTCATTTCACTTCTTGAAGAGAATTTTTCTTTTCTTTAAGGGAAGGTTTCTTTTGCCTTACTTCTTTGGGGACCATTTTGCAATAGAAGTTCTCAAAGGGAAATTTTCTTTGGACTGTGCTACTTTGTATGGACCACTGAACATCTTCAATATCAGCATTTTTCATGTCTGTTCTGTGCCAGATGTGTAGAAAGTATCTGGCTGTTTCTTTGTGAACTTGAATTTTGAAAAAACCTGTGAGCAATTGGTAATTGCTGGACCTATGTTTCCTCCTTTTTTTTTCTGAAAATGCAAAAAAAATTGTGAAATGCAACATTTTTATAGTACTGAATAAAAGTTTTGAATGTTTTCTAGATATGATTTTTCACCATTTTAATGCCTTTGTGTGAGCTAACGAAGAGTTTTGCATGGGTGATACTGGCCCTTTTAAGGAATAATTTCTTCATGTGTAGTTGGGTAAAGGAATATATTTATGTGCCATATGGATTTTTGAAAACTATTTTGCCAGTCAGCAGCAACTGAGAAGATCTGATATTCCATCTGGAAAATAAGGATTATGTTTTTCAGTTTCAGTGATTCAGCACAAAAGATTAGAAAGTTAATTGAATACTGTGTTTCTAAATATTTATATTCAGTATGTTTTTTCTCATAGAATGTTTATATTCAAGTTATATAAAGGCATTCTTTAATACCAGGGAATGATGACATGAATGTACTTCATACAAGCCTTTCTGATGCCTCATGTGCTTAGTTGCCATATTTTGAGCACTCTGATGAGAAATATCAGATATACCAGCCTCCAAGTAAATTACTGCAATCAATATTCTCTGCAAACATGCAGCGACTCATTCTTCAGGGGAGCAAGAAAAATCAAAAAAGATTGCTAGGTTTAAAAAAAAACACCACAACTATTTTTGTTGGTTGTTTATACTTTAATAACCTTTTCATTAACCCTTTACCATGTACTTTAAAAAAAAAAAAATAGCAGTGAATCATCAACGAAGTCACCGAAGGGAAAAAGTGAGCTCTAGTTTTGTTTGAGAAAATAATCTCGTGGATGCTTTTAAAATGTTAATTCATGGTTAGTATTTCTATGTGGAACAGAGTTAAGATTTTTTTTCCCCTTAAATAAATCAGTCAAATGTCTTTTTGTAATTATAAAAATAATATTTTGCATTTGTGGGACTTTTTAACTGCTTATGTCTTTAGGAATTTATTCTGTTTTTCAGACATGTTGGCAGTTAGTTAGATAACCAAGTAAGGAGTCCTACATGTAGCATTTGTTTAAGAATGTAAAGTTAATTTGACTAATCCTTGCAGTGAAATACATAATTGTGAGATTTACTGACTCTTTTAATTTACTAATGATTTGCCATACTTAATTTTATGCCAAAATATGTCTTCTTTAGGATTTAAGGCTGTGTTACACTAATACGTATCATTTATAAGCAGAAGTGATTTCCATTTTTGGTAGATTTTATACGTACTACTTAATCATTCCCAAAATTACCTTGAGTGTAGAAATTCACCTAAGCAAGTCCACTGAATTGTTTAAAAGGTACGGAAAGGAACATCTTGCCTATGATGAACACAGTCTTATTTTGCATTCCTTGGGGTTTGGTAAAATGAACTGATGCAGATTATTCCAATCAAGGGATTGCTCAGGCCCAAATTAGGTTCTGTTGCAGTCATGACTGTTGGAATTCTGACTAATCCTCTCTGATACCAGTCAATTATACTTTTGTAATGCTTCTCCAAGCAGACTTGACTGAATGCAATGCCCAACACTGGTTAAGGGTAGCTGTGTAAAAACATGAACTCCTCATCATTAGCCCCAGGAAATAATCCCCAGAATCCCATAAACTCCAAATCCTCTAATTTAGGTATTGAAACTTTGACTTGAACAACAGTGGAAAAAAGTTGACTGACTTGGGTTTTCTGTATTCCTGGCATAGACAAGTGTTACTGCTGGTAGATTTGTGAAAGTGCCTTTACTTTGGTGTACAAAGGAAAAGAGGGTTGCTATCGTTTCACTTCTGTGTAAAAGGTTGCCAAGTTAGTAACCAGAAACTCACAGTTTTTTTCCCTTTAGAGCTGATTGCACTCCTTACAGACATAGTGCAGCAGACTTCTGATGTTGATGTATCTTTCTACGTTTGAAAATGGGTCACACTTTCTGATAGTAACTTCCTTGTATTTTGGGCAGTGATTTGTTGCAAAAGGAACAGGATTTCTCCACACAGATCTTTCACTGGTATGGCATCCCCAGGCAGATCAGGCGCTCAAGTTTGAGGCCAAATGCTCTCAATTCCTACCCTTGCTGTAGGTCCTTCTTGACATGGCAGCAGCGTTGAAAATGCAGCTTACACAAGCAGTCAAACACAGAATGATCTTGTTTCAAGGACCTGGATATACCAAAGCCCTTAGAATTATTGCAGTTGTCTTTGGAATATTCACTTGCTCAGTGTATTGGGAAATCCACTTAGAGACCATGAGATGTTTTGTAGCACAAACCCTCAAAAGCCTTGGCTATTGTTAAACATCTCACATTCTTATCTTTCTTTCAACAAATAAACCACTTACAACGTAGTCACAAAATTTGTATTAAAAACACAGGAAAACAATTAAAATTAACTCAGCGTTCTGTGTAGGCCAGGTTTCCCCTTTTCATGTTTACCTAATTTTGTTTAATTTCTGTCCTTCATGTCATTATTTTTTTAAACTTTTATCCCTGGTAATTAACCACAGTAAAGAAAAGTAAATGTAGATCTTGGAAATTATGCTTGTGGGATCACGTCACATTTTAAGATATTTACCACAAGCAACATAAGAATTTCTTCTGTGCTTGTTTAGTCAGGCTTTTGTTCTGAAATTGTCATAGTTCTGTAAATAGGGGAGTTAAGAGTTTTAATCTGTTTTGTTTATATTTCTCACCATATAAAATATCCTCTAATGTAAGCTTTAAAGAATATGAGCTTACAGGGAGGTGTATTTATTAGATGATTTTTATTTCCTTAGATTATTTTAGGCAATTATTAGTTTTCTAAAAGACTGCTTGCATGAATCAGATGTGTGTTTCCTTTTATAGCAATTAACTTTAAGATGCAAAGTTCCTTCCAGCTCTTGCTGCAGTAAGAGTTTTGTCTGTCAGTTTTCAGTGTTAGGTGGTGGGGATTTTTCAGATTTCCAGATTTGCAAAGTATGGAATATGTGGGGGCAATCAGATTGTCTTTCGAAAATATTTGTGTCAATAATAGACCTCTGAACTGAAAGGTTACCCTCTAATAAACAAAGGAAATTTAAAAAGATTTCATTACAAAAGAAGTTAATCTAGAATCAGGATATCTTTTTTTAGACATAGTTTATCCCTAGTGAGGGAAAGCTCTGAAATGTGGCCAGTTCTCAGCTCTTCAAAACATCATCTTAGTTTATTAAGTTTCCAAGTTGACATCCTGGCTCAGAAAGTACTGACACATGAATAAAAGGATAAATTCAAAAGTTGTTGCAAGGGTTTGTATTTCACTTCCAACTTCTAAGCTTGTTCATGTGCAAGTCACACTAGAATTCAAGTGAGCCTTGAATATAAAACAACATTGTTTTTTGTCATGAAGAGCTGATGGCTGGAAAAGGAGAGATTCCTTGTGATTTTTACAGTATGGGAGTGCTCATGTATATCAGTGATGTACTATGAAAGTCTCTCTACAGAATTCAGATAAAAGCAAGGTGCAATCAAGTCTCAATCTTCCAAAGATCTGGCTACCAAAAATATTTTACTATAGATTGAAACATCTTTATATTTTCAAAGTAGTTATAAAAATTGCAAGAAATCTCTCCCTCCCCTTTTAGTAAGGATGACTTTAATATGTGTTTATGAGTACGAAACAATAAATACAGTGTTAAATAGTATAATAATAGAAAGGTTTGATTAAGAGTGAGTTTGCAGTTTGTTTCTGTCAGGAGTCTGTGAGAACAGTGTTTTGTGGTAAATAAATCCTTTACACTCACATGTCAGTAAAGCTGAGCTATGTAGATAAGCCCATCATAATATTCAAAGTGTGAGTTGTTGATCCTTACTGGGATACCACAAGCAGTTGAAAATGAAGCTGAGATTTTTATACCACTTTGCAAAAAAACACATTGCCTTTTTCTTGTATTTTACCCCCTTTAATGTGTAGCACCTAAATGGACATGTTTCATTATCACTTGAAGGGAGTCTCACCTGGAAATAACCCAATGGTGAAAATATACAATATCTTGGGATGAAGTGGATAAATTGAATTCTGTAGAAAAAGACATTTTTGAGAATC